AGACCTGCCGCCTGCCCATGGCTGCGCTGGGTTTACCTCAGCTGTGGGCTGCGAGGCTTCAGATTGGTTGCAAGAACTTCCTGCAGCCAATCCAAAGCCACGCCAGTGTCACCGCCTGCCCAGATCCGCCTGTGGCTTCGGATTGGCTGCGGGAGCTTCCTGCAGCCAATCCGAAGCTGTGCCAGCATCGCTGCCCGCCTAGAGCCATCCCAGCTTCGTGGAAGTCAGTCCCCGCACAGCGAGGCGTCTGCAGTGCTCAGGGACTGACCGAGCAGGCGGCAGGGTCCGCGTGCTGGATTTACGAGCCGGGGGGGCTGCATCTGGCCCCCAGGCCTTGGTTTGCCAACCCTTATTATAGACAATACTGAGCTAGATGAGCAAATGACCTGGCTCAACAAAGAAGACAGGTTCCTCTGTTCCCATGAGCCTGCATATTCATTGCCCATTGGTTAATCATGCAGGTGGCACTGTGGTCTAAAGCACTGAGCCTCTTGGGGTTGCTGATCGGAAGGTCAGCAGTTGAAATCCCCAGAACAGGGTGAGCTCCTGTTGCTCTGTCCTAGCTCCTGCCAACCTAGCAGTTTGAAAGCATGCCAGTGCAAGTAGATAAATAGGTACCGGGGCAGAGGGAAGGTAAACAGTGTTTCCTTGCGCTTTGGTTTCCGTCATGGTGTTCCGTTGTGCCAGAAGCAGTTCAGTCATGCTAGCCACAGGACCCAGAAAGCTGTCTGTGGACAAACATCGGCTCCCTTGGCCTGAAAGCGAGATGAGTACCGCAACCCCATAGTCGCCTTTGATTGGACTTAACCATCCAGGGGTCCTTTACCTTTTTCATGCATTAAATGATATGGGAATGGTGGCTGAATAAAATGCCTTCGGAATCCCACAGGCATCTTGTTGGCCACTGTGAGAACAGGATATGAGACTAGATGGGTCACTCGCCTGATCCAGCGGGCTTTTCTTATGTCCTTATGAACTGGGATGGCTCAGTTTGGACAATTTGGAATGACAACCCTCCGCTGAGAGGGAGGGCATTCTATACATGCTCAAAAGCACTCTGTCTGGTGTTGGGAAGGTTGAGTCCTTAAAGGGACAAGAACATGAAATCAAGAAACAAAGTTACTCAGAGACAGGTTCTTCAGAACCCTGGACAGGTCCCAGGGATCAGGCGGCTTGTTCCACCAAGTGCATAATGTTAAGTTCTCATTTGGGCCTGATTACCCCTTGCAGACTCCATCTCCTCACTGCGAAATGGAATGCCTTACAGGGCCATTGCCTGTAATATGACACTCCATATTACAGCACTGACTTTTACTGGACACGCTCCCTGTAGTAGCAAGCAGGCTCAGCGGAGTGTGAGAATGCTGGGAGTGAGGACCCCACTCCTGCACCCTGATAGTTTCCAGCTTCAGGACTGCAGTGTTTGGGGATTCTGGCTTACGGCTCACGGCTCTCTGGTTCAAAGGCTCTAGCATCCCCTGCTTGCTGGGCTTCAGAGCCTTGACAGTGCCCTGATTCAGCACCTCTTCACCATGTGCTATTAGCCTGCTTGAGTTGACTGGCTCTCTCTGTTTGAGTCCAGTGTCCAGGAAACTGCTGGCCATCTAGGGTTGCTTCTATGTTATATACAGTATATTTTTCTGGAATTGCCATCTTTTGTTCATTCCAAGCTGGACCAGACAGGCCAATGTTGGGGTTTGCTCTAGCTATAGATTTCATGCACCGAGCAGAAGGTTGGACTAGGTGGCCTGCAAGACTTCTTGCAACTCTATGGTTGTTTGTTTCCCTTTTACAGAGCATCCAGATGGCACTGGCTGCTTGGTGCTTCCCATGTCCTGTGTATTTCCAGACCTGCTATGTGGCAAATGTTTTTGAAATAAAATGCACTTGCAGCTCCAGCCTATGCACGCTGGAGTGAGAAAGCTGTATTAAGGCTTTCAGGGTGCTTATATGAAACACTTCCTCTTTATAGTTTCAGCCCATTTCTATTGCTTCCTGTTGCTCTGGGCTGGAGGATTAGCATGTAATTGCCCCTGCAACAGCCTCTCTGAATTGTTCCAGAGGCCACTTTTGTCTCCATGTGGAAAATTTAATTACTGATTTTTATGGGGCTCCTCTTGCTTTGGGGACGGGAGAATGAATCCAGATCAGAATACACAACCAGATTACAAACAGAATGGGAAGATTTCCAGTGCCAAGGGAATACCCATTAAATACAGTACTGAGGCTTTTAAATCTGGGCTATAAGTTATTGTCTGCTGCCTCTGTGCAATGAGGATTTTGTTGTCCTACACACACACACACACACACACACACACACACACCAGCTCCAGTATACTTGCTAGAATTGCCCTGCAGTGTTCAGGCCAATACTACTCTTCAAAGGAACTCAGCATAAAATATGCAATATCAAAAGAAGCAATATTTCAACTATGTTGAGATAGATGGACGGGAAAACTGAATTCAGAATTGAAATTGCTTTGTAAATCAATATGTGTGTGTGAATGCGCCGAGGGCCTTCTGGTGGTTCCCTCATTGCGAGAAGCAAAGCTACAGGGAACCAGGCAGAGGGCCTTCTCGGTAGTGGCGCCCGCCCTGTGGAACACCCTCCCATCAGATGTCAAAGAGATAAACAACTACCTGACATTCAGAAGACATCTTAAAACATCTTAAGGCAGCCCTGTTCAGGGAAGTTTTTAATGTGTGACATCTTAGTGTATTTTTGGTCTTTGTGGAAGCTGCCCAGAGTGGCTGGGGAAACCCAGCCAGATGGGTGGGGTACAAATAATAAATAATAATAATAATAATAATAATAATAATCCAGCTATAAAATAGTTCATTAGCTAAACTACAAACAAAAAATCAGTCTATAAAAAAAAAACCCAAGCCATTCCCTCTATATTAAAAACAGTGCATGGTAATTACATAGCTGGAACAACATAATCCATTTGTAATTGGAAGGCATCAAGGGAACCTTAAAGTTTGCAGAAGTACAAATTCTGCAAGTGGGAGGGGTGACCTTTAGGGGAGGACCTCCTCCCAAAAGAGCCCTAGGAGGACGGAATATGTCCACAGACTGTGGTGTCCACAGAATACTGTCTGTTGTGCAGAGACGGGAGATGACAGAAAACTGGGGTGGGTTGAGGGGGAATGGAATGGGGCGACTAGCATCCTGAACTGTAGCACTCCATACTGCAAGATTTTGTTGCAGATCCCACTTATTTATCTGCCCTTGTATTAATATAGGAAAATAAATAAATATTACGTAGGCACATGTCTGCCTGAATTGTCATGGTATGAAAACTTTAATAGCTTGAGTGGCTTCCATACAGAAAATTAGTTCAAACCATGGTGCCACAATATATATTTAAAATGAGGGTTCTTTGCTAGTTGAATTTGATGCATAATTTTCTTTTTTCTTTTTCCAGCGTAATTGTAGTCACTCGAATTTGATTAATCCACTGATGTTTATGTGGCTGCTTTGGGCACTTTCAATTATTTGTCCTGTATACAATTGCTTAAGTAGGTCCTTGTGCAGAAATCCAAGGTCATTAGCTTGAAACTATGATGAAGCATAGATTTGGTAATTAAAATACTTATTTTACTAAACAACTGCATGTTGGCACAGAGAGTTTCTCACTGCACTCTTGGCAAAAGCACCATGTATAATTAATGAACAGTATACTTATTATTTTGTGTAACACCGGCTTGAGTCCAGAAGCTAAGATGAAGTTGGATCTTCAGTTTCCAGGAATTTTGCTGTGGGGTTTTGTGTTTCTATAGAGACAGTATTCGTGTTGCTTCACAAAAATAGGCCTGAAAATTTGTAACATCTTTCGTTTTCTGTAATAGGCGTTACTCTCTAGATAAACTGCAGAAGGCATCATAAATTGCTTCTTTCCATGATACAATTTATGTGAAATACTAACCATTTATTTGGGTCAGCTGTAAAACTTGCACACTTTAATTGGTCTCTCTGTAGCAAAAGCTACTTGGAGGCTGTTTGACTGCATTAGTGCCTATGGTGGAATATTTTGTTTGCATTGATTTGAATTATACTTTGAAGCTAAAACACAGGCTCTAAACATGGTATCAACATGCAATGAAATTGCTTTGAATTTGAGAAGAAAAGCCTTGTACAATAGTTATTTGAGCAAAGGGAGATGCTGCCAAGCCTACCAACTTCTTTGGCATCTGTGACTGAATACACACTATTGTTCAAATTGTATGTTGACCATTTCTAGGTATTTTGAGAGTTCTAACCAGAACTCTGATTCTTGTTTATAAGTTTCAGTGCCAGAAACAGCTAAAACAGTGCTTCCACTTAGTGTTAAGATATAACATGAGGTTCATGCCCAAATGGGGACACGGGTGGCGCTGTGGGTTAAACCACAGAGCCTAGGGCTTGCCGATCAGAAGGTCGGCGGTTTGAATCCCCGCGACGGGGTGGCCTCCCGTTGCTCGGTCCCTGCTCCTGCCAACCTAGCAGTTTGAAAGCACGTCAAAGTGTAAGTAGATAAATAGGTACCACTCTGGCGGGAAGGTAAACGGCGTTACTGTGTGCTGCTCTGGTTTGCCAGAAGCGGTTTAGTCATGCTGGCCACATGACCCGAAAGCTGTACGCCGGCTCCCTCAGCCAATAAAGCAAGATGAGCGCTCCAACCCCAGAGTTGGCCACGACTGGACCTAATGGTCAGGGGTCCCTTTACCTTTACATGCCCAAATACAGAGTGATACCATATAACATACGTGACCATAAGGCATTTCCATCAACCATCGGCTGTGACCAGGGAGCTTCAAGGCATTCTTTTGGCCACTGCACACCCTTCCTCTCACTTCTCAAAGTCAAGGTCCATAGCACCTCAAGACTAATCAAAGGGGTTTTGTTTCTTACCTGAAGCAAAAAAAACCCCACCTACACAGGACTCTCCTCCTCCCTGGCACTAAAGATTAATAATAAATTAGATAGATGAACAATTTGCTTGGCCTAATAGTAGGACCGGTTTTATTGGCTTCTTTGGCAATGGGATGTTTGATACACTGCAGGTGTAAAAGGTCACAATGTCTTGCCTCTGGCAACTCTCTTGAGGTACAAATGTATCTTGTAGTTCTAATGGATATGTAGAGTTTTGGGTTCTCCATTGGAAGAAGGATGAAATCTGGTTATAAAGGAAGAGTTCATTGTGAATTTCCATTTCATTTTACGTTATAAATGAAGTCTGGAGTATTAACATTGATGCTCTATCTAGAATTTCACACCTAGGAAGACCACTGTAATGAGATCTCACTGATACGCTTTTCGCAGTCCAGAAAACATGTTTTATATGCTTGTCACACCAAATGTGTGCATAGCAGAAGATGAAAGATCAGAAATCTTAATTAGGCATACAAGTGTTTTGAGGAAGTCTTGGCTCTGGGTACCAGCCTTCCTTTCTCTCCACCTTCCTGGTCTCTCCCAGACCTACCTCTTCTGCCTCTCTCAATTCTGTTTCAGGTTGACACAAAGGTATTTTGGAAGTGCATCTTGCAGCAGGTGCTCATTGGCTGCAAATAAAATCCTGACAAAGTGCTGGTCCTGGATAGAACTGAAATCTAACTATGGGTAACAATATAGCTCTGGCACAGACAGCACTTAATGTTTGTGGTTCCATAGTAGTCAATACGGTGCCCTCTAGCTATTGAACTCCAACGGACATCTGCCTCAACCAGCATGGCCAATGGTCAGAGATGATGGAAGCTGTAATCCAACATCTGGAGGGCATCACACTGGCTAACCCTGATTTTTGGGGTTGGAAAGACAAAACCTGGGACAAATCTATTTTCCCAAAGGAACAGACGAGCAGTGTCTATATTTTACTTCGTTAAAAGTGTGAAAACAGGGTCTTCCAGGTAAGACAGAAAGGGAAACTTTTGAGCAGGAAGGAGAGGAGGAAAAACTATGCAGACCATTTTAAATAAGCGCTTGTCTGTGAACCTCTTTTCAGCATATTTTAGAAACAGCAAAACCACATTGTACATATTTTAGGACCTTGTAATCATCTGACGAGACAGAGCTTTAAAGTGTTCTTGCTTTGCTCATTTGAACAGCACTTTGTGAGATGGATACATTCCCAAATTTGTGTACCTTTGTCCGGCTTTCTACTAGCTTAAAGTTGCCAAATCTCATTATTTTGAACAGGTCCAGCAATTTCATACACTTCTTAGAACTGAAAAGAGAGGACATTCACTGGAATCTAGTGGCTTCAGGTTTTTGTTTTTGAAAAAGAATATTGCAGTATGTGAACCTGAAATAATATTTAAGCATCTGAAAGCAAGCACAAAAATCGAAAAATAATACAATTTTAAATCATAAACTGACTCAGTCATGCTTTTTTGAATCTGAGTTTAAGAACAAGACACAGATATGTTTTCTTAGTTAAGACCAATTAATTTCAACAAGTTTTCCCTCCTCTAGTCTTTCCTAACATCAGCAGAAATATATTTCCCTACATGCTTTCATAAATTGTCCTGAAACTTTCCTGATAATTTTAACTGAGATGGGGGGCTGAAGTTGAAAGGGGATAATTACAGTGTGAAAGAAACCCCAGAGTGCCCACCTGTCACCTTCTTTGTTGATAGAATATTAGCTTTTCAAAGTGGTGGTTGCTCATCAAGAATATAGACTGCCTGCGGAATAGCCCATTTATCTAAATTGTATGACAACTGACTTCCTTCTTAAGTTTCCCCCCCAAAAGCCAGAGCAGCCTAGAATGCATACTGGGTGTACAAAGGTTTATATGTGATGAGAGCACTGCGTGAAATTCTGAAATGACATCTGAAAAAAAAACACCCAGTCCTCCATTCCGTAAAAAGAAGTTTACATTGACACATAGCATTTCCCAAGTAGTTTATTACTTACCTGGGCTAATTCTATCCCCCCCCCCATTTACTTGCTTATTTATTTAGTATTATAAAGGATGCTTACCATATGGCCAGATGAGGGGCCTCCGCCAATGGAGAACGAGTTTGCTGGCGGGACACAGCTTATGCCCCAGGCATGCCAGTATAATGTTCAGCTTACACAGCTATTCTGCCAGTGGAGCAGGGGGAATGGGATGCCTTGAGGGCATCCAGACGCTCTCAAAGTATGGGCATAGAAAGTCCCTTCATTGCTCCAGCATGAACTGGTGTGACCTGTGATTCCAGATCCACTTACCTGGGAGTAAGCCCCAATGAATTCAATGGGACTCAGTTCTAAGGAGATATGATTAGGGTTGCACTTTATTTCCCTTTCCCATTCAAGTCTGTGGGAGAGTGGGAAAACTGTCACTCCTCATCAATGCTGAAACAGCGGGTACGTCCCCATGGGCCAGATGGGGAGGCCTGGCAGGCCAAGATCGGGCCCCCAGAGCAGAGGTTCCCCACCCCCGATCGAGAGATTCTAAAATTTACTTCAGGAGCTGAAGGCCTCTTGTCTTGCCTCAGGGAACAGTACGATCCTGTCTGTCAATGGCTGAAAGCAGCCTTGAACACATAGTGCAAATTTATGTTAACATAATTCAAAATAAACACCACAAACATAGGGAATAATATCCCTCTGGGAAATGAGATTGTACTGAAATCAAGTGCAGAGGCAGAAACGGCCACTGAAGTATTGCTGTCAGTTGGCAACTTTGTTGTTGAGAATAACTGGGAAATTGAAAGGAAGATTTGTTAGCCCTGTCATGCAATATGATATTCATTAGTATGTATGAAATCCCCCTTTTTGAAAGGAGGACTTCTGTGACATTTGTCTTCCATGCAAATGATAGATGATGGGTGGGGGAAAAAAATTCTTGTAAATTCTTGTAGACATTGCAACTTCCCACATTGGACACGGTCTTGCTTCGGTGGCATGTGAGTTTTCACATTACATTAGTCACAGGTCATACACCAGAAAACCGTTTTTTTAATGGAGTTTCCAATAAATATTACCATAAGACTGACATTTGCCCATGAGACTTCAGCTCTTTATATATATTGCCACAGATTGCAGGGTGAGGGGATGATTTATACTGATGAAGTAAATGCCTGAGTTGCAGATAAATTCTTACAGTTGCAAGACTGCTGCATTGGTCACATCTTACTAAAAAAATACAGCATTTAAACTACCTGTGGCATACTTCTTGGGGTTTTTTTGGAGGGGAAAACAAGGCAGTTAACAAACAGTTTAATGTTAATTAGAATTATAGGTGGCGCTGTGGGTTAAATCACAGAGCCTAGGACTTGCTGATCAGAAGGTCAGCGGTTTGAATCCCCGCGACGGGGTGAGCTCCCATTGCTCGGTCCCTGCTCCTGCCAACCTAGCAGTTCGAAAGCACGTCAAAGTGCAAGTAGATAAATAGGTACCGCTCCGGCGGGAAGGTAAACGGCGTTTCCGTGTGCTGCCCTGGTTCGCCAGAAGCGGCTTAGTCATGCTGGCCACATGACCCGGAAGCTGTACATCGGCTCCCTCGGCCAATAAAGCGAGATGAGCGCCGCAACCCCAGAGTCTGTCATGACTGGACCTAATGGTCAGGGGTCCCTTTACCTTTACCTTTAGGCAAGTAGGAGCCATAAGTGGGACCTTCTAGTAAAGGGTACAGAATAATTTAACAACAACAGCAGCAACCAACTAACAACAGTGTGTTGCACCCAGGCAAAAGAGCTCAGGTCACGAAGTATGGCCAGTGAGGGGTGTGGCCAAGGGTGTGTTTCAAGGGCCACACAGAGAGGTCTGAAGGGCCACACCTGGTCTCTGGGCCTTAGGTTCCCTACCCTGCTATACAGTGTTGGTAAAAGTCTAATCTAACAGCATTCCCAAATGCACAATTTATTACTGTTCACTGAAATATTCATGGCTAAAACTAGAAGAATATTATAAGGGTTAAAAAAAAAAAGCTGTTCCATGGAATTACCTTCTCCCCATACTATATATAATGGGAAAAAGGAACTGGCTAGTTTATGCATCTGCCGATTTTGAAGAGGGCCTGCCCTGTTCTTTGCCCTAAGACAATGTAGGCTTCATTCATGACCACATGCAGACCAGGCTAGCTTTGCGTACAGCCCCACACCACCTTCAATGTGGGTGTGATGTGAAAAAGTGGCAACATCTGCTTGTGGTGAGTGAGTCATGTTATCTGCTCACCACACGGAGGGAAAATGCACAAAGAAAAGCAGAAAGCCTCAAGCTAATATGTACCTCAGAAAGATGTATTCCTGTAATACACATGCAGTTTGATTTAAGACAATCTTCTACGAAGGCATAAATAAGTTCTCAAGCAATGTTCTCAAAATCCTTTATTCAAGTAGTAGTTTCCACATCATGTGAAAAGTACGCTTCCATTACAGGGAAAGCAACCAACAGACTCTGTAATACCATAATGCTACTTCATTTTAAAACATCTACCAGGCCAGGATTAATTATGCTCTGCACGCTCACCATGGAAGGACATTTGTGCGCTTGAAAATGTGTAGATTTTTAATACGAGAAATTAGCCTGTAAAAGATATTGTTGTTAGTACAGCAGATGCATTGGCTGCCTCGAAAACAGCAGCTTCAAATCTCCTGCTCTCTGATAACATCTAGGAATACTCAACACATGACATAATATTCAGCTCCTGTTAAGATTCCCTGCCTCCACACATGGCAGTCAGTGAGGGGAAGAACATAGAACTCACAGAGTGATGATGTCACATCATATATTGAATATCCCTAGAGCAGGAACAAAGAACCTGTGGCTCCCCAGATGTTGATGGACTCCAAGTCCCATCAGCTCCAGCCTGCATGGCCAATGGTCTGGGATGATGGGAGTCGGAGTTCATCAATATCTGGATAGTCATCACTGCTCTAGAGGCTCCAGGAGGGAGAGGAGAAGATACATACCTCCTGTTTTTGTAGCATCAGAACTGGTTAATGTCTTGCAGTTTCTTTGACTTCATAGATAGACAGATGTATTTCCTCAATTCGCAAGTGAGACACTTTGCATTAACAAACAGTAAGTTCATAGCCTAACTAAGAGCTGCTGAACTTTTGTCTGGGGTGAACATTAATCCCTTCTTGCAGGAACCTGCCAGAGTGTTTTGTCTTCAGGCAGTTTACAAAAAGATGAGTCACAGAAGTTCATCCTGGTTAAAACACTGCAGACTAATGCCTCCCTTACACATTTAGCCGGATGAGGTACTAGGTAAGCATTAAATGGAAATGTTCGGACTTGATAGAATGGATCATACCACTTTAGGCAGCATATTAGTATTTTATTATTTCTAGTATTCTTGTAGGGACGTGGGTGGCACTGTGGGTTAAACCACAGAGCTTAGGGCTTGCCAATCAGAAGGTCGGCGGTTCGAATCCCCACGACAGAGTGAGCTCCCGTTGCTCGGTCCCAGCTCCTGCCAACCTAGCAGTTCGAAAGCACGTCAAAGTGCAAGTAGATAAATAGGTACCGCTTTGGCAGGAAGGTAAACAGCGTTTCCATGTGCTGCTCTGGTTCGCCAGAAGCGGCTTAGTCATGCTGTACGCCGGCTCCCTCAGCTAATAAAGCGAGATGAGCGCTGCAACCCCAGAGTCGGTCACGACTGGACCTAATGGTCAGGGGTCCCTTTACCTTTACCTTAGTATTCTTGTATTCTCCCTTGTGTCAAATGCAAGCTGAGCTAAAAAAACTTTCTCACTGATATGTGAGGGTTAAAAAAACCCCAGCAGGGTTGTTGTTTTTTGTTTGTATGTTTAGGAGCATTAAACCATAAGAAACAACAGGACAGATATGAATTGTGGCTAATATCCTGTGTGCACTGCTTTCCAAACCAGTGGTGAGAGTGCAGTGGATTCAGATTATATGGGAGTATGTAATCAGCCTCTATTTTACATTGTTATAGGAGATGTCAGAGTTTAATTCCTGCTCCTGTTTCTTTTTTGATAAACAAAATGTTTATAAAGTCATTCTCCCAAACTTATGAACTGTGATTTTGCTAAATTACATACACAATCAAACACAGCTAAAGTTCTACTACACTTGCAGTGTAATCCTAAACAGAAGTGAATCTTACTGTGTTCAGTGTTGCAGGGGCTGCATGCAACCCATACATTTAAGGTATTTGGCTTCCCCCAAAGAATCCTGGGAACTGGTTTGTTGTTGTTTTTTACCACCACAGAGCTATGATTCCCAACATCCTTAACAAACTAGGAATTACTTTTGGAATCCATCAACATTTGGAGGCCTATCAGCTCCAGTCAGCATGGGACCATGGGATTTGTAGTCCAACAATATCTGAGATGCAACAGGTTCCCCGTCTCTGATTTATTACCCTAACCTGGGATGCAATTAAGGAAAAAGGAATCAATTGCCCATGGGCATGTATAGTGGGGTTAAAAAGAATTAAGCAATTGTGACTTGTGGGTCAATCCTAAACGCGTTTACTCAGACTTAAGTCCAAGTTGGTTCAATGATACTTACTTCCTTGTAAATGTTATTAGGATTTCAGCCAAGTGTTGCCATCCTGTCTATGTTTACTAAGCAGTGAGGTGGGCACCCCTAAACCTACACCTTTAAGAGAAATGTCCAGTAAACTCAGTGGAACTTACTTCTGAGTAGGCATGCCTAGAATTGTGTTGTGAGTCCCGTTATATTCCGTGGAGCTTATTTGAGATAACTGTACATAGGAGTGCAGCCTTAGCCTTAAGCTTGTTAATATTGCAGAAGGCTGTCTAAATCCTAGAAAGCCTTCCCTGATTTACAGTAAAACTGAAATCCAATGTATGCTAATTCAAAAATGCATTTCATTTTACTCTTTAAAAAAAATCACTTGCTTTAATTAATAATTTGTACATCACCACAATACTTAAAATTCGCATTTAAAAGGTCTTTATTTTAAGTAAATGTGTTTACGGTCACAATCCAAGAATACGTATTGTGAGGCTGCAGTAAAGAAACCACATTTCCAAAAACTGAGTAATTAGTGGCACCCAGTGGTCAAAGTTGGCATTTGCAGATGAAGATTCATGCCTTATGGGTCTCATTCCCCTCCTGCTTGAATTAAAAAGACAGGTAGAGTGGATCAAGAGAAAGCCAGGGGAAAGAATAAATGGAAACAAGTATATCTCTGACAAAAAAATTATATATATTCCACCTTTCTCCCAGAACTGGGACTCAAGGCAGCTCACAAAAATTAAAACAAACACGAATAAAACACAGAAAGCTTTAAAAAACACATATAGAAGATAATAGTTTAAAAGTAATTAAACTATAATAAAATTAAAATTATATAAAAACAAATTATTAAAATATGGGTAGGAAAAAGAGGAAAACACTATTAAAAGCCCTTTGCTTAAAAGCAGTCAGTTCCCAAATGCATATTAAAATAAACCAGTCTTCAGAACTTGGCTCCTTCATGAAGTAAATCTGTGCTGCAGTGTGTTCTTTGGCAAACTACCTGAGATTTACCAGATTGTGCAAAGCTGAAGTGCATACATTCAGGGCACAATCTTGATTGATATGAATATATTGTTAGACGCGATACTCATGCTAACATTTCTATTTCTCGTGAACCACTTTGTGGATGGCAGAAAAGTGGCTTCTAAGGAAACTTGAGCCGGCTTGACGTTCCAATCCCTCAAGTGTCTGGAACGCTCATTGATTTCAGGAAGAGAGTATTGGCCTGTGTTTAATCCATT